TTAAACCAAAAAGTCCTAGTCAAGTCTTTACTCAAGATAATTAAAGTCAACCCAAATTCTGACATCTACCGTCTTTATCCATATAATTACAAACCTTTTCCCACCCTACATAAGGGATATTTCTTTTTTAATCCATATCTCCACAGAGTAATCTATTATGCATTTTTTTTCAAGCCCATTTTTAACTTTGACTGGAATCGGAAACAAGGATATGTAGAAAATTGGCAGACTTGCCAACATAGACCTTAGTAAGGTAACTTGCACTCCTGAAAAAAGTTTTTTTTTCTTCCATCCCACCAATTTGGCCCTCATCCTATCAAGCACCAGTTTCTAGAAAAAAGCTGAGTTATGGTTAACAACCAAAGATAATCCCAGATATGTGATTGGAATAGACCCGACTTGGCATGAAATTCTTCTTGTTATTTTATATATATGTAATCACATTAGTTATATTCTTTATATAAGTCTAATTAAGAATCATCAAATTCATGAAAATCTTGCATTTCTTTCAACAAAATGATCTTAGGATGATCAAACCAAAGTTGAAATCATGGATAAAACAATGATAACATGATAATCAATTTATCAGTCATTAATAACAAGCAAAAATAAAGAGTCCAACAAGAACAAGGAACAAAAGCATTGTTAGCGTAATGCTTTAATAAAGTTTCATTACAGTCTTTATATTTTTGAAAAATAATAAAACAACTCTTAATGTATAACTTGAAACTCATGGGTATTAGACATAATAATTGTATGTTATTTTAAATACATAATACTTTAAAAAGGTTTTGAACTATCTTAAAAAATTTAAATAAAATTTTATTACGTTAAATTAAATTCTTTTATGTTTTTTTTGAATAAAATAAATTTTTATAATTAATAATTGATTAATTATGATTAGTTAAAATATTATTTATTATTTTTTTATGTCACGTGACGCTTATATGGTATATTAACATATTATGATAGTTGATGATGTGACTTGATAACATTGTCACATAACATTTTCACTCTTCACATCAGTGCTACTTGTGTATAAAATGATAAATGTCATTTTGACTAATAACAATCAATCGATCATTAGTCATAAAGATTTATTTAGTTAAAAATAAAAGAATAAAGACTTAATTGAACATAATAAGAGAATAATGATTTATTTAAATTTTTTTAATAGTTTATAAATTTTTTAAAGCATTATGTTAGATTAATTATTCTTTATATATTTTGAAAAGGCAAAAAGAAATGACCAAAATTCATTTAACTTATAAAGAATCAAAGCTCTCACATTCTCAAACAATGTCAAGTACGTTTGAAAAGGAAAAGAAATGAAAAATGTTCTGAAAAATGCATTCTAGTCAAAATCTTTCGATACATGTTCTTCATGTATTGATACAATTGAATAAGTATGGATAGATTCCAACATCTATCGATATGTGTACTTCAACAAAGTCAAAACTAAAAAATTAAACTTAAATCCATCAATACATTCTCAATTGTATTGACAGAACTAAGACAGAATGCTACTGACTTATAAGTATCGATAATTTCACAAATGTATCAATACATTTTCAACAGAAATACTTACTATTTCAAAAATATCGATACATAGATAAATGTATTGATACATTTTAAACAGAATGTCAAAACCTTTGTAGGTAAGATCAAATGTATTGATACATGCACAAATGTATCGATACATCTCAATGGGAATTTAAAAATAAAAGGCAATATATTGATACATACACATATGTATCAATACATTCTCAATTGTATCAACAAAATTGAGACAAAATGTTTACTGACGTAGAAGTATTGATACATTTCACAAATGTATCAATGCATTTTCAATAGAAATGCTTACTATCTCAAAAGTATCGATACGTAGATAAATGTATCGATACATTTTAAGTAGAATGTCAAAACCCTTACAGGCAAGATCAAATGTATCGATACATGCACAAATGTATCGATACATCTCGACTAGAATTCAAAAATAAAAAACAATATATCAATATGTACACATATGTATCAATAAAATATGACCATTGGAGCCCTAAATGAAGAGAAGAACTACTATTTTCACATTAAATACACTCTCAACTACTTTTGAAGCTTTAGCAACTATAAATACAAGCTTTTCAGCATTTATAAAGATTTAAATACTTGAAAACATAGCTCAGGAGAGAAAATTAACCTAGTTACATTCAAAACCCATTGTACTCTTCTTAAATTCAAAAAGTCTTCTAATCAAGCATTTATTAAGCTCTCATCTTTTCATTTAATCACTGTATCAAATTCTCTATTCAGCCTTGAAGAGGCACATTTGCTATACTCATATTCCTTTAATTGTACTTACTTAAGTGGTTATACCTTAACCAACAGAAAAGGTAGAAAAGGTAAAGTGGTTGTGCTTTAATCATAAAAAAGTATTATATTGAATTGTTATGCTTGATCCGCAGAAGGCATTGTATTGAGTTTTGATTATGTAGTGGATTTCAAACTCGTTAATGAACCTAAGGGAGAGGACGTAAGCAAGGAAGTCAAACCTCTACATAACATTTATGTTAATTTCTCTACTTTTTCCCTCTTTTTCACTTGAAATTCAATTTTCTTTCATTGATTAAGAGGTCAATTAATTTGATCATTTTCAAACTCAACATTTGATTTAAATAAGGGGTTTTATTTTCTTAAAAATTAAAAGGTTCTTCAAAATTTTTAAAAGTAAATCCAATTCATTTTCCTCTTGAACTTTCACACATTGAGCTTGTTAATTAAACACATTATATCTAGAGACGATTTTTGTTAACCCTTAAAGACAAAGTGTTTTCAAAAATAACCATCCTTTTAATTTTAAGAGTCTTTAGTCAAGAGAAAAATTTTTTGAACAAATTTATCGTTAATGAAACTTGCAAATTTAAAAAAATAATTTTTTTTAAAAAATCAACACCACCAATGCTTAAGAACAAAGATACAACAATGCAAAAGTTAAATATAAAAAATTTAAATTATATTAAAAAAAGAAAGATGAAAAAGAAATAAAAAAGGTTATCATCATAATCATTCTTTGATATACACAAATGAACAAATGGAAAAAAAGACAAAGAGAAATAGAGACAAAGCTATTTTAGTTTTCGATGAGTTTTTTGTTTGTTTATTCTTTAGTTGGTGAGATTGTTGTGGAAGGATCCCAAAGCCTTGATAGCAGCATTTCTAAAGATGTATTGTTAGTATACAGCTACTACAAGAGCTTTAACGAAAGCATAAATCCAAAAACCCTAAAAAAATGTTATTCTAAATTATGTTGAAAAAATAAAATTCTTACACGCTATGTTTAAGGCATTTAACTCTAAAAATTTATATTTTAGTGAAATATAAAAATAAAGACTCAGTTACATGTCATGTTAAAAAAAAAGTTGTTACACACCTTGTTGAAAAGAAAATTATTACATGTCATATTTAAAGTATTTAACTCCAAGAGTTTGTGTTCTAGTGAAATATAAAAATAGAAACTGAGTTTCACATCATATTGAAAAAAAAAATTGTTATATGCCATGTTGAAAAAAAAATTATTACACACCATTAATTCCAAAGGTTTATATCCGATTGAAATATAAAGATAGAAACAAAGTTACACGTTATGTTGAAAATTTTTTTTGTTACATACCATATAAACAAAATTATTACATGCCATATTTAAAATGTTTAACTCCAACAGTTTATGTGTTAGTGATATATAAAGATATAAATTAAGTTACACATCATATATATTAAAAAAAATTGTTACACATTATATTAAAAAAAAGTTATTACACGCTATGTTTAAGGTTATTACATACTATGTTTAAAGTGTATAACTCTATGTTTAAATCATACCATATTAAATAGATTTGTTACAAGTCAAGTGTATTAAAGTTGTTAAATGTAAGTATGATATATAACAACTATGGACAGTGTTTTAATTTATAGATTTCATTTATATAACTTCAACCAATCAATTTTGGTATGTAAATCAATAAACTTAGGAACATACATTAATGTCATATCTGTTCTGTAATCTGTAAATTGATGACAATATGACGAGAAATAAACAAAGAAAGATGACAATGATGGTAAAATTAAAAAGAGCTGGATGACGGGTGAAAGAAATCTAGAGCACAGCAGACAAATTTGGTAGACAAAATCGAAAAAAAATTAGAGTAAACTGAATAGTTAGAGAGAAAAATCAAGAGCAAGGTAGATAGATGCAGGAGAGAGAAATATAGAAAAATGATGATAAATATTTTAATTTATTTGAAATAGCTTTAATAATATTTTTGTTAAGTCATAGTAAATTTAGATAAAAATAATTAACTTTATATTAATAGTTATTTTAAAAATGAGTTTATCAGGAGGGACATTTCTCCGAAATTCCTCTTGTATCTATTTTTAAATGATAAGAAAAATTCATAAGGGATATTATTGCAAAAAGAGAAAAGTTGACAAAAAGCCCGCGAGGCCAAATTCCTAAAAGAAAACAGAAATAAGAACTTGTGGATGTGGATCATTCCAATGAAGTTTGAGTATCGACTCGATATCGTCAACCTCTGAACTTGTTCAACCCAGACAAAAATCGCTCCCCTTGTTTTCTCCGATAAAGTCTTAGTAAACAATGTTTTGTTCTATGAAACTTCGGGTGTCTGTCATCCTTTTCAAATCACTGTACCTTGGCTTATCGTCTGCATGTTCCCTGGCAATTCCAGGTACTTCCTCACCTCGCCCTTCTTTTTAATTATCTTCCCATTTGTTTTCTTTCGTTTCATTATAAATTGTTTGCAAAAGTATGCATATATTTGTGATCATGTTGTTTTCATCTAATTATAAATGTTCATAAAATCCATTGCAATTCAGGTTGGTTGTGGTTTGATTGATTTGCCTTCTGAAATATGCATGCCATTGATCAACTTTTAAGGAAGCTAGCTAAAGCTATGGTTGTTAACTCTTCAAAACTGTAAATAAACTTGAAATAAGGTAGGTATCTCTTAAAAGTACTTGATTTGAGAAGCTCCATGGCAAACTTCTTCCCAAGGAATGAAAGCTTTGAATAAGATGCACTTGTCTGACAAATGATTTCTTCATATCTGTTCCATATTCTAGGTTTAACGTGAATCCTAATGCCACTGTACTCGGTCTGCGTCCTTAAAATTTATAGATTCATACAGCCTTGTTATGAATACAAGTGAGTCATACAATGCTTAACTTTGCTGAACTGAATGTGATTTGAATTTCTTGCAGATCCCGTTCAGAGTTTTCCGGTTTGCAATTCTTTGCCTGGAAGGGAAATATGGGTGAGATTGATACCAAACCTATTGAACCAGTTCAAGTTGCACTATCTTTGTTTGGTGAAAATGGTGATCAGTCGAAACGCCGGTCCAGTAGCAGCACTGTAAGATTTTGGTTTTTATTGTGGTATTCAAAGTTTTTGCAAGTCACAAACTGTAGTTAAGTACTTACAAAGCGATGCTTTCTTCTATCACAAGTGGATCTCACACAGTATGTGAGAAAGGAGGGTATTGCTTCTGGAATATTGAATTATTTCATTGAGGATATTGCAAATCTCGATACTAGGAACTTTGCTAGAGTATATCAGATAATGAACCCTTTTGAATGCGTATTCAACATCACTAAAGCTTCTGATTCCATTTCTATATCTTCCTTTTTCTTTTTCTCAGTCAGGTGTGGAAAAAGAGAAAGATGTTGAAGGCCTAGAAAAGGAATTGGCCAACTACAGACTGCAACTGGAAGCAAAGGACTTTGCATACATGCAAACTCTTCTTCAACTAGAACACTACAAGAAAACAACAGAAGAATTTTCGGTTCTACCAAAGAACTCTGAGCTTGAGAGAGATAGATACATAGAAGAATGCAATGAAGTCAAGAATCAGATTGATGAACTTGAATCCAAGATGAAAGGGATGGTGGATCAGTTGTCAGAAACTGCAACGGTCCGTGAGCCCTTTTCACATGTTTTAAATGAGCTGAAGGTTACACAAGCTGCTCTACTTAATATGGAAACTGAACTTGCTGCTGCCAAAGATTCGGAGCTTAAGGCAATGACACAAGCAGAACTGATGGAAACCTCTGCTAACACGGAAAAGGAAAAGTCAGAAGAGCTTTTAGACCACATTTTGGAGCTTCAGGATTCTGTTCTTATTTCAAAGCTGGCAGCCGCGGAAGCTGAGGAAGAGAAATGCAGAATTGCATCTGAGAAGGATGCTGAGATAGAGTCATTGAAGGCAACAGCATTTCAAGCACAAGAGCAGGTAGAAGATCTGAGAAAACAATTGGAAAAAATAGAAGAACTGGAGAATCAGCTCCAAATTAAGTCTGCGTATATTGATTCATTACAGGCAGAACTTAAGCAGGTAACTAATATACTTGGTTCAATGGAGAATGCTACTTCAGATGGTGGAATTGATCTGAACCAAATAAAACAAGACTTGGAATTCAAGGAAAGAAAGATATCAGATCAAGCATTTTATATTGAGGCATTGGAAACAGAACTAAATCGATTAAAACTTGAACTGGAAAATGCTAATGAAGAGGTTAGGTGCCTGAACTGTAATGTTGAAGCACTTAGAAGTGATCTAGAGAAGCTAGAAATTGAGATGGATGAAGTTACGGAAAAAGAGAATGATTCACAAGTCGAACTAGCGATGGTAAAGGCTGAGCTTCATAAAGGGAGGTCAAAAATTGCAGCAACAGAGGCAGCTGAAGCAAGAGATCTAAGTGTTAAATCAGGGCTCTATCTTGCAGTTCAGCAGCTAGCAGTTGAAGCAGAACAAGCCAAGACGGAATATCATAAGTTGAAACCGGAAGTGGAAGCTGAAGGATGTGACAACTCTACCCTCAGCCATCAAGCTGAGAAGTCACCTCAAGGTGCACTAGTTTCTCACATTGATGATCAAAGAGATAAGAGTGTTGATCATATAACAATTTCAATTGAGGAATACAACATCTTGATCCAAAAAGCTGACAAGGCAGATCAACTTTCAAACTCAAAGTCACTAGCAGAAGACTCTAAACAGTTAACCACAGGGTCAGAAAATAAGAATGAAGTTGAATTTTTGAAGAAGGAATTGGAAGTTGCAATGATGAAAATTGGGTTGTTCAGGAACCGCGCAGAACAGGCTGCTACTAGGGCAGAGGCAGCAGAGAAAGCCAAAGCAACACTTGAGGATCAGCTGAGGATGTGGCAAGAGCAGAAGCAAAGGAGAAAAGCTGCTTTAGCTGCCCTGAGGGAGGAGTCTGCACCTAGACAATTCAGTCCTCCCACAATTGAAAAGTTACCTACAAAATATCAGCCTTTGGGTAAAGTTCTTAACATAAAATTCTAGTCCGAGAATTTCTTCAAAAACTTGGTTTGATTGTAATAGCTGTGAGTGAGAACCATGTGCTGGTATTTTAATCGTAAACTGAAATTATCATATTGGTCTATTTGCATGAAAGATCTTATATCAATAATGGTAATTGTGGTGTGGCATTGTGATGTTTATATCTATTCTTCATGTTGACTACAGACTTTAAATGTTAACTTAGTTTGCATAAGGCTGGAGAAATGCATAACAAGATAATCATGTGTAAGAAGTTCTGTAAAAGGACCAATACAAATTAGAGACGGACTTAGCAATTTTGTTTTTCCTGATATTTGTTTTTTCTTGTAATTCTTTGGCCTTGAGCATTGTCATGGACTTGGCCTATTGCCAGTTGCCAACGCAAATCAACTAGAACGAAGACAAGCAGCCCAAAATTTGGCAGGCTGCTTTTCACTCTGACAGTAGGAGTTTCAACCATGGGCTGTTTGTAATAAAACCTGCTGCAGCTCAAATTTGGGCCAATGTGTTTGTTTAATCCGAGACGAAGACTTTTTAAGGCTCATTAGTAGAAGCCCATGCCATTGCTTCAGGCTCATATAACAGATGCTTAGACCTAAGTTAAAGATTCTTTGACATTGATTCATATTTGTTGTCTTTTCTATTACTTTAACCTGCTTTTATGGGGGTAAAATATGATCAATTCTTTATATCTTGGTACATGTTCATTCACATACTTAACATGCTTTGAACAGTTGGGTTTCATTTCAACAACTACATTTGACATCAACATCTACAACCAATCAAATAGAGTCTGAATGAGACATTACCCATTTTCATCAACAATAATTGTCATAAAACATGCTAAGAAAATCTATCCAAAGCATGAAAAGGATGAGTGAGAGAGAGAGAGAGAGAGCCCCCCCAGTCTTGCATCTATTCTGAATGTGAAAACAATGGTAGACTATTATTAGTATTACAATGTCTGCACAATTTCCTTGTGTTTCATGTTTGCGTTGTTTGGTGAGTCACGCTCTCACTCCATGTTTGTTTTTTCTTTGGTCTTCGCTCCAAACTTTCAAAATGGGGAATTCGGGGCTGTCTACGAAGCCGACGCCCCAACACAAGCAAGATTTTTCCAAAAGCGAATGGGGAAATCAGACCTGGCTTTGAAGCAAATTAGAATATTTGTAATTACGGCTGAAAGTTGCAAAGTAATACTCGTCAAAGTTTTCATCAATGACGTACACAATCGTGGCTGCCTATCTTCCTTAATCGTCACCCAATAACTTCAACAGCCCCATGCCTAAGCTTAATCAAACAAGTGATTTTTTCTCCAAAGCTTAAACAGTCGTCGACGGCTAAAACTTTACTCAAACTAAACGAACTCGCATTACCCAAAATCAAATAAATGAACTTACCTTTGAGTTGAATACTGGAATACAGTTTGATCGAATCCTTTTCCAAAGACCAATCCTCAACCATCAAATAAAGGAAAAAGGGTGAAAGGGGCAGCAGGACAGGACATCTGAAAATGAGGTGTGACCATAATGGGTCGAATTTTGGGGTCCCTGGTAGAATCCCATACGCTAGCTGTGGTTGCCAAGGGTTAAATGGCATCTCTCTCTCTCTTCCAGATTGTATCACATCCCTTTACACTTTCCTTAGGCAGCATTGCTGTTGCCATCCAACAAACACTCAGATTAAGAAATTATACGAAAATTGGTCTCTAGTTCCAACCAATACACGAAAACGATGCATTTAATTTGCATAATTATCTGATTTAAAGCCAAACAAAAATAAAAAAAACAGAGAGATTAATGGGGATTGTAAGAGGGAACTGGTTACTGTGTTCTCATTTTGTGCAGGAGCAAATGAAAATAACTTGGTATCTTTACTGGCATAATTTATCTGATTCGTCATTATTTGGTATCTTAATATCCTATTGTGAAAGAAGCCAAACATGACCAAAATGAATAATTCAGCCTCTTGCTTTTGTGAACTGATGCTGTTTAATTTCAACGTTTTCCACTGCCAAGAAGCAAAAGAAACCCGTGATTACTTTAGACCCAGAACGTGAAATGTATTTGGTATGCATTAGGAATTTTGTAAGAGACGAAACCCAAATGTAATTGAGACTGTGGAAGAAGCTTAATTAGGCAAATACAGTGAACAATCAGATGGTCAAAGCCCAATACTTCCCACACGTGCTGCAATGATGTGACACTCTCCACTATTTTCTTTTCGATCAAACTTCGTGCATTTGCTGGATTCCAAATGGTCGAAAAGTGCCCAAATTGAGGTCTGAGGTAAGACGGTGTTAGTGTTTGCTGACCATGAATAAGTACAAGCCTATTAAATTTGAATCTTGACTAAATCATATTAGGGGCCTTGGCACCAAAAACGCGAATCATGCACATTACACACATAATTTCTACCAAGCCTTTTGTTTCTACAAGTTTGATCATACATAGAATCTATCAAGTCGTAATTCTCATGCTTCATTTCTTAGCTAATTTATTTGTCTTTGACTAATTAACCTATTAATCAATGTATCATAATTTGGTTATTGATTTTATTAATTAAAACATATTATCCAAACTTTTGTTTTAATACGATATCTCAAATTATGCAAATTGAAATTAATTTATTTCCCGATTCAATTTAAAATTAAAATTAAAATCTTCATCTACGAAAAAAAATGAGTCATTTTCACATTTATTCTGCTCGAAGAAAGATCAATTCCTTATCCAAGAAAATATATGAAAATTCTAAATATTTTCTGTGCTCGTGTTGTGGACCAAATCTTCAAGATGTAGCAAATTCGCATTTTGGTTGCTCATTTATAAGTTTTTGTTTCTTCATCTATTAACTCAAGATGGATATTTTCACACAAATAAAGGGTTCAGATGTTTGAAATATTTTTTTTATTGATAATAATAGATAGATTTGTTTATTTATATTTCTAGATTACCATTTTAAATATTATTTGATATAAATATTTATAAGATTTATCTAATTTATAAATAAAAATTTTAATTGCATTGAATAACTTTTATAGAGAATATTTTTTTATTATAAATATTAATAAGATTTATTCAATCTCTAAATAAAAGCTCTGATTGCAGCAAATAACTTTTATTCAAAATACAAATAAGATTTATCTAATTTTATGAATAAGAATTCTAATTGTGCAATATATACATATATATATATTAATTTTAATAGTATTAAATAATTTATATATTAATATTTAAAGTTGCAATTATATATTTATATTCCAAATTTTACAATTTAAAAATCTTTATGTTTTATATATATAATTTTTATTAAAAATAGGTTAAAAAATAAGTAGATTTACGTGTAACATTTGTGAGAAGATATACTAATCTAAAAATTAAAATGCATGAAATTAGAAGTGTATAATTATGAGTATAAAATTAAAAATGTATAATTATGAGGTAATAGTGTATCACAATTAGAAATTTAAACTTAATTTTGTGTGATCTATAAATTATTGGTTTACATTTTTAACTTTAAAAATATATTTGATAAATAGTAAACAATTTATATTTATATATTTAAGATATATTTATTTTATATTGACATGAAACCTGTATCACAGTCATGAAAAGTAGCGGACCCATATTGTTTAATGTTTATCCCCAAAGCTATCAAATCGTTAGGGTAACAAATATGCTTGAGAAATGAAGAGCCCCTGTTTGACTTTGATTGTGATGCAGAAAGGGACATTATTTGGAAGGGAACGGGCGATGGAACAATTTCTTTGGCGTGAAGTCAAATCCACAAACGTTTCTTAAGTATATATCAGGTCGCCATTTGTCATCTCATAATCTTCCTCTTCTTCGTCTTCACCCTACTCCCTACTCCCTACTGGATAACATGAGGAGACAGTGGTTGAGTCGGATTCTGCATTTCAACTGGCCACATTGTGGAAACCCAAATTGTCCCTTTCACCTCCTACCATCAATGGAACCCAATGCTACAATTTGTTCTCTTAGATTTACATTACACAGTAGGAATTAACGTTTCGTTTATTAAGTATTTTTATTTTGTTTTCCAGAATTTCAACATAAAATTCTTAAATCCAAGTCTCGATTTGGGAACCTTTTCATATACACATTGTGTTAGTTGTTTCCTACTTATATTATCACATGCTTTGTCGTCTCGAAAATATGCATAATTCGATTGAATTTATAAAGAAATTTTCCATTGTGATTTAGGATATACAAAAACTATTGAAACTGCAAGTGTCATACAACATACTCAACTGTCCAAAACAAAGACAAATTTTGCTATATATATATATATACACGTATACCAATATATGGTTTACATCTGTTGCTTTTTGGTTTTTATTGTCAGCACATAATACTAGCTTTTTTTTACTCTAGGATGTTTCTTTTTAAAGAAGCAAACATGCAAAACGTTTCTATCACAATTAAATAAATAGAAGAGAAAATATTAATATTAACAATGTATAACCTTTTGAGTAGGACCATTCTATTTTTGTGGCTTGATTAGTTTAAGATGGCTTTGACTAAGCAGCCAATATTGCCTTGATTCGACAGCGAAATCCTATGGGCCTCAAGGGCTATTCATGTATCTCCATCCTGATGTGAACTCCACGAACGATTCCCATTAGCAAATTTGTTTACTGAACGTACTTCTTAAGATGATTTTTAATTTGATAAACACAATTAATGTTGACTAAATTGTTGATTAGGCAAGATCTGAATTATTATAGAATTACCACAGTAAAGAGAAGTTTAAACTGTGTTTTACTTTTGCAAGTGTGGTTGAACAAATGTTTTACGAGGCATCCTAGCTAACCCATGGAAAGAAAATGGGTCACTCACTCGTCACCAGCCACATCATGGGCGGCCAGGCTTTTCAATTGCTTACTATTTTTCAATTCTATTCATGATGGGAGTAGGGAAATTGCTTAATAAATATTGGCTCCATTTTCAGGAAATAAGAAGCTTCCAAGCAGAGCAGTCGAT